CTTTCTTTGTATACTTTGTGATTTTTTTTGTTGTTGAAAATTGGGTATTTGATTATTAGAATGAGGTAACTCTGGAAATCAGATTCTCCTCCAGACTTTACTGGGGTTTTTTTGTTGTTGAGTTTTTCTGCTTATTTCCCTTTTTTTTTTAATGCTGAAGGGTATAGTATTCTATTTGAAATGTTTCCGAGCTATTTTTTACAGATACTATTCCTTGTAATGTATGATTGCCCAAGTCTTTGTTCTTTTGGTGCATGTTAATGTTTTGACAGAGATTTCTTTGAATTTTTGGAACTCTCCAGTCTGCAGATTGTTTGTTTTCTGGGGCACTCCTTCCATACTTAAGTAGACTTGCTCTGAGCCTAGGGATCTGCGTTGGTTAATTTTATTTGACGGCTGGCTAGGACATGGTACCCAGATATTCGGTTAAGCACTACTTAGATGTTGCTGTGAAGGTATTTTTTTTAGATGATATTAACATTTCAATCTTAGACTTTAAGTAAAGTTGACTTGAGTAAGGTGAGGACATTGATTGGGAATGAATGTGATCCTGAAAAGTGGAATGGGGATGTATGGGAAAATCCTGATGAAGCCGAAAACATTGAATCCTAGGTTCTGTTGAGTCTTTATTGCCAGATGCTCTACCCAATCTGAGATTAACTTTGCCTGAGGAAACTAATGGCTTTCTCTGAGGTGATTGCCGTGTAAGACACTACTGATTGTCATCAGGACCCACTCCCACCACCCTTCTTTGCTTCTAAACCTATAAGTAGACTCGCGTCTCAGCAGGCCCCTAAAGGTAAGGTGCAAAGTCTGATCCATGAGGTGTGCTGCACTCCAGAACAGTTCCAAAAGAACTACATAATTTTTCCCCTTTGGGAATATGTGTGGAAATTGATATTAAAGGTATAGGATAATGATAGAAGAAACACAAAGTTGGATCAAGCTCAATTTATTGGTATAGGCCCACAAAATAGAGATTCTGGATTTAATGTTGCAGCTTGGGGGATTAGAAAGTGCTCTAACTGTTTGGTTGGTTGGTTGGTTGATTGAAACATGGACCAGAAGGTGGCCTATAGTAAATGAAGTTGAAATGCCAGACCTGCGTTGGTATGCAATAGAGGAAGGGATCCAAAAGCTTAGGGAGATTGAAATGTTAGAGTGAATTTATCATATAAGACTTCCTCACCCACACTGATGGGAGTCTAGAAAACATACCTTTCACCATGACTGTGAGAAATAAATTTATGAGGGGAGCCCCAGCATTCTTGAAGTCTTCTATGATTGCTCTTTTCTAAAGGTCTGAAATTACAATGGGAACTGCTGCCACTGAATTGGGAAACTTAAATTCAATGGGAATAATTGGATCATGTTGTGGCAGGTAGCAGCACTTAATTGCCACAGGCAAGGTGGGAATGGTTACCATAGTGGACAACAGAGTCAAAGCAACATAGAGACCTGTGGTTTGATAGTTATCATGGAGTTCCTAGAAATGAAATAAATGGGGAGTCTATTAAATTCTTACTTGATCTGTATGAGCAGAAGAGTTTTAGTTCAAGTGAACAAAAGTCAAATTTGAGTTACAAAAATGGAGTCTCGGCCCGTCATTCAACCTCCAGATTTGAGCCAGTTTATAGACCCAAAACTCCTTGAACAAAGGGGAGACTAGGTCACCTTGAGGAAAGATCCCACTACACTGCCAAAGATGTATATTTTTAAGTCTTCCAACCTTTCCCAAAAGGACCTGTGGCAGTTTACTAGAGTTACATTGGGGGAAAGGAAATAATGAAACTTTGGGGGATTGCTGGGCACAGGTTCTAAACTAACACTTATTCCAAGAAACCAAAAATATCACTTAGGTTCACCAGTCGGAGTAGGATCTTATGGAGATCAGGTGATCTATGGGCTTTTAGCTCCAGTCTATCTAAGAGTGGGTCCCCAAAGCCATCTTGTGGGGATTTCTACAGTTCGGGAATACATAATTGAAAGAGACATACTCAGCAACTGGCAGAATCCCCACATTGGTTCTTTGACCTGAAGAGTAAGAGCTATTATTAGTGGGAAAGGCCAACTGGAAACTATTAAATCTTCCTCTACCTAGGAAAATGGTAAACCAAAATCAATATTGCATTCCTGGAAGGATGGCAGAAATTAATGCCACTATCAAGGACTTGAAGTATGCAGGAAAGGTAATTCCCACACCTTCCCCATTCAACTCACCTATTTGGCCTATGCAGAAAACATAAATCTTGGAGAATAACAATGGATTATCATAAGCTTAACTAGGTGGTGACTCTTACCAGATGCAGAGTCTGCTCAAGATGATTACTTGAGCAAATTAACATATCCCCTGGTACCTGATATGCAGCTATTCATCTGGCAAATGCTTTTTTTTGATACCCCTTAGTAAAGGTAACCAGAAGCAGTTTGCTTTTAGCTGGCAAGGCAAGTAATACACCTTCACTGGCTTGCCTCAGGGGTTTATCAACTCTCCAGCCCTACATCATAATTTAGTTCACAAGATTTAAAAAATGTTTTATTGATACATAATGTATATCATTTCAGGGTACATGTGATTATTTAATACATTTAAATAATTTATAAAGATCAAATCCATCACCTTGAATATCTGTCTTTATATTGGAACCATTCATTAGTCCACAGGATTTTGGTCAACTTTCTCTTTTATAAGACATCACACTGGTCCAATTCATTGATCACATATTGATTGGACCTTGTGAGCAAGCAATAGCAACTACTCTAGACTTGTTAGTAAGACATGTGCATGTCAGAGGATGGGAAATAAATCTTAGTAAAATTCAGGGGCTTTCTATGTCATTGAAATTTCTGGGCACCTAGCCGTATGAGGCATGTTGAGATATCCCCTCTAAAGTGAAGGATAAATTGTTGCATCTGGCCCCTCCCACAACCATGAAATAGGGACAACACCTAGTAGGCCTTTTTGGATTTTGGAGGCAAAAAAAAATCATTGTAACCATTCCTACCTTATCTTTAGCAATTAAGTGCTACCACCTGCCACTGTGGGATCCAATTACCCCATTGAAGTTAGGTTTCATTTGGTTTCATTTGGAATAGCACATTTGGGTGTACTGCTCCAACTAATTTTCCATGTGACCTGAAATGCTGCTGGTTGTGAGTGGGTCCCAGAACAAGAGAAATCACTGCCATAGGTCCAGGCTGCCATGCAAGCTGCTCTGCTACTTGGGCCACGTGATCCATCAGATTCAATGGTGCTTGGAGTGTCAGTGGCAGTTAGAGATGCTCTTTGGAGCCTTTGGCAGGCCCCTATAGGTGAATTCGAGCACAGGCCCTTAGAATTTTGGAGCAAAGCCCTGCCATCCTCTGCAGATAACTACTCTCCTTTTGAGAAATAGTTTTTGGCTTGCTACTGGGCCTTAGTAGAGCCTGAGCACTTAACCACAGGCCACCAAATTACCATGTGACTTGAGCTGGCCATCATGAACTGGCTGTTGTCTGATGCCACCATGAAATTGAACATGCACAGCAGTACTCTATCATCAATGGAAGTGGTATGTATAAGATCAGGCTCAAACAGGCCCTGAAGGCACAAGTAAGTTACATGAAGAAGTGGCTCAAAAGCCCATAGAATGCACTCCTGCTACATTGTCTTCTCTCTCCCAGCTTGAACCCATGGCCTCATGGGGAGTTCCCAATGATCAGGGTTTTTTTTTCTTTTTTCTTTTTGAAATAGGGTCTTGCTCTGTCACTCTGTGTAGAGTGCAGTGGTGTTATCACAGTTCACTGCAGCCCCAAACTCCTGAGCTCAAGTGATTCTCCCACCTCGGCCTCCCACAGTGCTAGGATTACAGGCATGAGCCACCATGCCCAGCCCCCCAATGATCAATTGACAGAGGAAAAGAAAATTCAGGCTTGGTTTACAGATGATTCTGTATGCATGTACCACAGCCCCTTTATGGGACATCCCTGAAGGACACTCCCTTCTACAGATGCTGGAGAGCTGTGGAAGTCTTTTAGGCAGGAGGTAACTTTTAGATAGATAGATCACACTGGCTGCCATGGGAAGAATGGCCTGACCTATGGATTTGGTCCAGATTTGAGTCTGGGTCCCAGATCAGATACTAGTTTGGTCTTTGGGTCAGACTTGGGCTCCAGGGAAGGACCCTGTCTATATGCCTGAAATAAGCATGGAGGCTTCAGGGTCTGACCTGTGTATTTTGCTCAGTTTGGGCTCCCCAAGGTAGGGCCTAGTCTGGTCTTTGGGCCAGTATGCTGGGACCCAGGAGAAGACCTGGTCTGGGTGTCTACCAGACTGGGGTCACCTGTGTAGGACCTGCTTCCTAGTGAAGCTCCATATATCCAGACATTAATTGGGGCTTTCACAGGAGTTGAGGGAAAGAGGACAGAAAAAACTAAGAAGGATAAATAGGTAAAAACAATTTTATTACTGGGGTGAAAACAGAACATTCTAAGAATTCAATGATGTGGCCCAACTTGAGACCGAGGAATGAACACAGAGACACAAAGACACAGACACATGACTGCAGCCCTTATAAAAAGACACAGACACCACAAAGACAGTATGAGGCTCCAGCAAAAAACTCTTGCTGTAGCTGCTTTATTTATAACATAGTCTGTTTGGCAACTGTCCCACTGTAATTTCTTCATTCCCACACCGTCCCGACTCAACACGTCTCTGTTCCTTGTTTCGTCTCCGGCGAGCAGATGTTTGCATCTAAACTCTCTAGCCCTTCCTGTTTGCAGGGTGAGGGCACACTGGACTTGCATGCAAGGCCAAGGCATGTTCTTGAGAAGAACAACAAGGAATCGTTCCCAGACACAGGTGTCCCCTACAATTCAATAAGCAATAATTGACCAACAATGGGCCTGCTGTTGAGCCTAGTCTGCTCAGGAAATTCTGGCCTGTCCCTGAGTACTGCCTGCTTATCTCTTATTCGCAGAAAGTCACATCCCCAATTTCCCATGTTGATAAAGTTCTCTTACCCTGGCAATTTCCTTTCCACTCTCATGTTCTGCATCCTCTTTGGTTTCTCCCTAACATTCTGGACTGATTCTTTTCCACAGAGCATCTTTTCTACATGTTGCCGGATCTCCTTAGTCCTCACCCCATAAATGACAGGATTCAAGGCTCCTGGGAGCAGCAAGTATATGGCACTGAGAAGATTCTGGACATCCTGAGACACAGTCCTGGCTACTCGGAATACAATAGAAGTGGAAAGACCAGAGAGATAGATGGTGAGGATGACCAGCAAGTGGGAGCCGCATGTATGCAAGGCCTTGGCTCTCGCTCCCCCAGAAGAGATCTGAAAGGCAGCATAAATGATGCGAGTGTAGGAGGTCCCCAGCAGGGTTAGATCAAAGGTCACAGTGACCAATCGCATAACCAGCCCCAACTGGCTGTTGAAAGTCAGGTCTCCACAAGCTATGCTCAGTAGTGCAATGTACTCACAGGTGAAGTGTTGAATCACTCCTGTCCGGCAGAATTGAGCTTGTGCGGTTAGCACCACCAAGGGCACTGCCACTCCCAGGCTCCGTGTCAGGGCAAGAATGGCCAGCAGGCCCAGCAGGCGGGAGGTCATCAGGTCAGTATAGCGGAGTGGGTGGCAGATGGCCACATAACGGTCCAGGGCCATGGCCAGAAGGAGGTTGTAGTCCAGAAGAAGGGTGAAGTAGATAAAGAACATCTGGGCCAGGCAGCCGTGCAGTGATATGGGGTTAGCATAATGTACAAAGCCCTCCAGCATTTTAGGTATCACAGCTGTGGCAGCACAAATGTTGACAGCCAGGAGCAGAGCAATGAGCACATACATGGGCTGATGCAGGTTTCGCTGGGCAACTACTGTGTGGATGACCAGGGCATTGGCAGAGATGATGGTCACATAGAGGAAGGTAAGAGGCAGGACCAGGAGGGGCCTCCACTCTTGCAATCCAGGGAAACCCACCAGGAAGAAGTTGGTGTAGGAGATGTTGAAGGTGCTGGTATTTCCATCCTCACCCATTAGCTTTGGACCTGAGCTGGCACCAGGAGTGGAGATTAGAGGCTGTTAGAACAAAATGGGAAAAAAAGCCCATTTCTATTTTAGGGTCTGAGGAGTTTGTGATGAAAATTCACCTCTTCATGTATGTATTCCTTTGGGGCACAGACAGGTACTATGCCAGATGTGGGAGCAACAAAGATGAACAAGACATTCCTTGTCCTCAAGAAGCTCTTGGCTCTATGTGTGTGAAATGTAAACTTATAAGATACTTGTTATTCCAGATATTTGATTGCTCAGTAAAATATTATGAGGATAAGTAGGTGTGGTATATTAAGGGGAAAAATGAGCAGTGGCCAGAGGTGAAATAAGAAAGATGAAAGAGGGAAGAGGTCAGAGGAGGTGGAGCAAGATAGCCTATTAGAACCCTCCAGCAATCATCCATCTGCAGGAACACCAAATTGAACAACTATCCATGTAAGAAAGCACCTTCATAAGAACCAAAAAATCAGGCGAGCAATCACAGTACCTGGTTTGAACATAACATCAAGGAAAGAGGTGTTGCAGATACCAACCCTAGGCAGTGGAACATGGAGAGAGAATCTGTGCTTGGGGAAGGGAGAGAAAAGTGAGCGTGGAACTTCGCATTAGAACTCAGTGCTGCTCTGTCACAGAGGAAGACACCCAGGGCAGAATTCTGCCAGTGCCACAGAGGGAGCATTTAGACCAGCCCTGGGCCAGAGGAGAATTCCCACCACAGCTGGAGGAATCCAAGTCACAACCCGCTTCACCATCAGCTGACTAAAGTGGCTGAGACCCGGAATAAATTTGAGTAGCAGTCAGCCCACAATGATTGCAGTCCTAGTGCAAGCCCTGGTGCTGCACTGGTCTTGGAGGTAGTGGACTTGGGGTGTGTCACAGTGAAACACCAGCTGTGGTGGCTGAGGGAATGCCTGTGTCAACTCTGCAAAGCAGATCCAGGGACGATTTCTTCTTTTTGGGGGAAGGAAAGGGAGAGTTCAGAGAACTGTGTCTTGCAATTTGGGTACTACATCCACAGTAAATAATAAGCACCAGCAGATTCCTAAAGCTCCTCATTCCAGGTCTTTGCTACTGAATGGCATTTCTAGACCCACCCTGGTCCAAAAGGGAATCTGTTGTCCTGATGGGATGGACCCAGTCCCAGCAGGATTCACCACCTGCTGACTACAGTGATCTTGGGCCTTGAATAAACATCAGTGGCAGTCAGGAAGTAGTGGCCATGGACCTTGGGCAAGCCCCCGTGCTGTGCTGATTTGCATGGCTTCAGGTGCAACCCTCTGCAGTGCCAGCTGTGGTGACCATGGGAGTGTCCATATCACCCCTCCCCCAACTCCAGGCAGCCCAGCATGGATAGTGACTCCTGATTGGGGGAAGAGCGGGAAGATAGTGGGAGACTTTACCTGGTAACCTAGGGAATTCTCCCTTAACTTACCCAAGTCCACCAAGTCTGTGTATCTAAGAGTCTGCAAGAGTCACAGAGTTCCTGGGCTTACGGCATCCCCTAGTACTGAAATAGCTGCAGACTTAGGTCACAACACTCAATCCCCCTTGAATTCATGGAAAGCCCTCTCAAGAAGAATGGGTGCAAACAAGCCCAGACTGTGAAGATTGGAATAAATACCTAACTCTTCAATGTGCAGACATCGATGAATGTCCACAAACACCAAGAACATCCAGGGAAACATGACCTCACCAAACAGACTACTTAAGGCACCAGTGACCAATCCTGAAGTGATAGAGATATGTAACCTTTCAGACAAGGGAATTTAAAATAATCTGTCTTGAGGATGCTTAATGAATTTCATTATAATACTGAAGGATCAGAATCCTATCAGAGAAATTTAATAAAGAGATTGAATAATAAAAAAAATCAAGCAGAAATTCTGGGACTGAAAAAATCAATTGACAGGCTGAAAATGCATTAGAGTCTCTTAACAGCAAAATTGATCAAGAAGAAGAAGGAATTAGTGAGCTTGAAGATAGGCTATATGAAAATACACAATCAGATAAGCAAAAGGAATAAAGAATTAAAAAGAATGAAGCATACCTACCAGATCTAGAAAATAGATCAAAAGGGCAAATCTAAGAGTTATTGGCCTTAAAGACAATACATATAGAGAGATTGGGGAATACAAAGGATAAGTATAAAACTCACTGGTAATAGTAAATACACAGACAAATACAGAATACTTGAACACTGTAATTGCAGTATGTAAGCCACTCATATCTCTAGCAGGAAGACTAAAAGACATCTATCAAAAATAATAACTACAACTTTTTAAGAGACAGACAAATATAAAAATATATAAATACAGAACAAAAAGTCAAAAATCATGGGGGTTGCAGTTAGAGTATAGAGTTTTTTAGTTTTCTCTTTGCTCGTTTGTGTGTTTTTTTCCTTTTCTTTGTAGTCAAAGTCAAGTTGTCATCACTTTAAAATAATTGGTTATAAGATCTTATTTGCAAACAAAAACCTATAATAAATATACAAAAAATAAAAAGCAAGAAATCAAAACATACTACCAGAGAAAGTCACTTTTATACAAAGTAAGACAGGAAGGAAGTAAGAAAGGATAAGAGGACCAACAAGACAGCCATGAAACAAATAGCAAAATGGCAGTAGTAAAGTTCTTACCTATCGATAATAACATTGAATATAAATGGACTAAATTCTATAATCAAAAGATATAGAGTGGTTGAATGGACAAAGAAATAAGACCTAACCATATGCTGCCTACAAGAAACTCACTTCACCTATAAAGACTCACATAGACTGAAAATAAAGGGATGGAAAAAGATATTTCATGCAAATGGAAACCAAAAAAGAGCAGAAGTAGCTATACTTATATCAGATAAAATAGATTTTAAGACAGAACTCTAAAAAGAGACAAAAAGGTCATTATACACTGATAAAGGTATCAATTAAGCAAGAAGATATAAAAATTGTAATTATATATGCACTCAACACTGGAGCATCCAGATATATAAAGCAAATATTATTAGAGATAAAGAGAGAGATAGCCCCCAATACAATAACAGTTGGGGACTTCAACATGCCACTTTCAGCATTGGGCAAATCATTCTGGACAGAAAATCAACAAAGAAACATTGGACTTAATCTGCACTATAGACCAAATGGACCTCATAGACATTTACAGAACATTTTATCCAACAGCTATAGAATACACATTCTTCTCCTAAGCACATGGAGCATTCTGTAGGATAAACCATATGTTAGGCCACAAAAAAGTCTCAAAAATTTTAAAAAATTGAAATCGTATCTAGTATCTTTTCTGACCACAATGGAATAAAACTAGAAATGAATAACAAGAGGAACTTTGGAAACTATTCAAACACATGCAAATTAAACAATATGCTTCTGAATAATTACTGGGTCAATGAAGAAATTAAAAAGAGAATTAAATTTCTTGAAACAAATGAAAATGGAAACACAGCTTACTAAAACCTAAGTAAAAGCAGTACTAAGAGGGATGTTTATAGCAATGAATGCTTACTTCAAAAAAGTAGAAAATTTTCAAATAAACATCTTAATGATGCATTTTAAAGAACTAAAAAAGCAAGAGCAAACCAAATTAAAAATTAGTAGAAGAAGAGAAATAACAAAGATAAGCAATAAGTGAAATTGAGACTAAAAAAATAAAAAATAAAAATGAAAGGAAAGTTGGTTTTTTGGAAGGATAAATAAAATCCAACAAAACCTTTAGCCAGACTAAGACAACAAGAGAGAAGACCCAAATAAAATCAGAGATGAAAAAGGAGACATTATAACTGATACTATGGAAATTCAAAGGATTATTAGAAACTGTTATAAGCAAATATATATCAATAAATTTGGAAACCTAGAATAAATAGATAAATTCCTGGACATGTACAACCTACCAAGACTGAATGATGAATAAATCCAAAACCTGAATAACAAGTAACCAGATAGAAGCAGTAATAAAAAGTCTCCCATCAAAGAAAAGCCCAGGACTTGATGGCTTCACTGCTGAATTCTACCAAGCATTTAAAGAAGAACTAATATCAATCCTACTCAAACTATTTCAATAAATTAAGAAGGAAGGAATACTTCCAAACTCATTCTACAAGGCTAGTATTGCCCTGATACCAAAACCAGACAAAGATACAACAACAAAAAATTACAGGCCATTATCTCTGATGATCATAGATACAAAAATCCTCAACAAAATACTAGCAATCCAAATATAACAACACATTAAAAAGATCGTTTATCATGACCAAGTGAGATTCATCCCAGGGATGCACAGATGGTTTGACATACACAAATGAACAAACGCAATACATCATATCAACAGAATGAAAGACAGAAACCATATGATCATTTCAATAGATGCTGAAAAAACATTGAATAAAATTCAACATCTTTTCATGGTAAAAACTTACAAAAAACTGGGTATAGAAGGAACTCACCTCAACACAATAAAAGCCATATGTGACAGACCATGGGTAGTATCATATTGAATGGGGAAACACTGAAAGCCTTTCCTCTAAAATCTGGAACAACACTAGGATGCCTACTTTCATCACTTTTATTCAGTATAGTACTAGAAGTTCTAGCCAGAGCAGTTAGACAAGAGAAAGAAATAAAGGGCATCCAAATTGGAAAGGAAGATGTCAAATTATCCTTGTTTGCAGACCATATGATCTTATATTTATAGAAAGCTAAAGACTCTACTAAAAAACTGTTGGAACTGATAAACAAATTCACTAAAATTGCAGGATACAAACAATACAAAATTCAGTAGCATTTCTACATGCCAACAGTGAACACTTAAAAAGAAACTGAGAAATTTATCCCATTTACAGTAGCTATAAACAAAAGAAAATACCTAGTAATAAACCAAAGAAATTAAAAATCTCTACAATTAAAACTATAAAACATTGATGAAAGAAATTGAAGAGGACACAAAAAAAATGGAAAGGTATTCTATATTTATGGA